GCAGATATGGACTATGAACCAGGAGGGGATGATTAATTTTTTTATAATTTATCATATCCAAGATTTTTGATAAACTAGTCAATAAAGTTTGCTAGGATATTTTTCTCTTTGAAAGGAATTCACATGTTTTCATTTGTTTTAGATAATTTTCAACTACTATTATTACATGATATAAAATTATTCATAGAAATCCAGATGATTTGGTTCATATCGTATGTAAACTTTTATTTATCAAAAAAGGAACAAGTTCACAATTATTCTTTCTTCAATCCTTGAGCGAACAAAAAACAATGGGGAGATAAGATAAGATAAACAAACAGATATCTAACATATAAATATCTTATTATCTTCCTCCCAAAAGAACACGAAAAGATACAAAGATGCATAACTATGTAAGAAGGAGTGGAACGAAAAGAAAGCGAGCAGTCGCTTACATCATACCAAGCAGTTTTTATTGATTTGTCAGTAGAAATGACATTAACATATGCAACAAAATTTTTTTTTTCATACACCTCTGCATACCTCGACTCAGTTTTTTCTAATCAATGATGGATAGGAAATCACTAAAAAGTTTATTTCACAACTTGCTGTTGTAAAAAAAGTCTTGAAATTCACTTCTAAAACTTCTTTTGCGTTTTTCTCAAAACCGGGTCTTTTGTTTTAACACTTTTCCATTTCCCAAATTTCTCCGTCATTTTAAACGCTACAGAGTTCCGGTCAGTGCCAAAGTGAAGCAATTCGCCGGCTTCAGAACTTCGCAAAGCTTGAATCTTAGATTTTTGCGTTTAATGTCTCATGAAACTCAAATCTTTTACAATGTATACCAGATTTTTGCGGTATCGTATGAGATAAGCTGCAACAAAAAGAAAACTGCCAATGAAAAAGCAAATTGAGCTCTGTCAAGTTCTAGGGCTATGTTTTCGACATATTTTTAAAGTAACTCGAGATTTCTAGTATTTGAAATGACTGAGAAATTTGGGAACGCCGACACACCTATTTTGACTCATAATCGTGAGGTAAATCTTGACAGACTCAATATTTCGAAGTGAAATTGTTTTCGTAACCTTACTAGCAGTAGATACACCTTCTCTAAAAATTTCAGCAAGATCGGATGATCAGAAGCAAAAATAGAGATTAGGGTGGGGGTGTGGGTGTATGATCTTCTATTTCTTCATACCCACACCGACACCTACACCCGGTCC